TGTTCGCTCATTGGTGTGATCTCTATGCCAGCATTTGATCAAACACTGAGGGAGGTCTGCAATTCACAGTCTACCACATTTAGAGAACAATATTCCTCCTACACTTCCTTCTGTTTCTTGCCATATCAAATAAAGAGAACAAGTGCACCTTGGGGTTTTTTTCCAATATGTCTGCATTTTTACACTGATTTTCTTTTACTGAAAAATCACTGCATTTTCCTCTATATTCTGCACAAGCTAGCTGCCTATCAAGTATCAGAGGGGGCAGAGTTAAAATAAAAAAGCCACCCCTCAATTGGCAGAAGTAGCAACAATACTACTTTGGTTAGTTAGCTCACAATAATTCAACCTTGATATTCTTCCTGAACACCGAATCATTAAGTCAAGTAGTATCAATCCTTTGTGTCACTGCAGCTCGTGATTTAATACTTGTCTTTGTTCTCTAAAGATGCAAGATCCTTTATCCCATGAATGTCAAATCCACTTTCTAGGTAAGCTTGGATGATAAAATATCTGTACCTATATCTGTATCTATATATATATCAACAAGCCACTGGATGTACTAAAAGATACCTAATAAGATTTCAGGCCAACCCAGCTCCTCCATGGAGATGAGGGAAAGCTACAGTGAACCTCTGTGCTAATACGCAGCCTTCTTAGCAGCACCTGCAGCAAAAGAGGGATGAGAGTGGAAGTTTTGCCAACAGCATGCAGCTAAATTTTAAGATCAATTATCTCCATCCTCCACAACTGTCTTCCAATTTGTTAGTGCCATAACTATTTCTTTTATGAACAGGAAAGCAATGTTTGTTATTGATTCCTGTGTAACAGTTCCAATGAATAATCCTAAACTGTTTGATCAGTAATGGACATCAAGTGCTCTGATACATTCATATGGTTTAGCATTTTGTGCTGATGGCATGAGAGGCAAGAGGTTTTTTTTCTCCCTTCTATCAAGGACTCCATTGCCTCAAGGGAATCTTTTATGGGGGAACATGCCAACACTGATCAAGTCTTAGAAATACTGTCTGTTTGCGTTTAAAAATTACCTTTCCATACTGTGTCTCTATTTTTATTCTGAGAGAGATGCATGTGTGTGTGTGACAGAGAGAGAAATGAAATTAAGGACAAAGGATATAATGCCCCAGAAACCATAGATTGCCCCCTCTCAGCTTAAGAGACAGTAAAGAAGTCCACACCGAGTTCACACTTATAAACCATCCTACAATATTCAGTGTTGTTTGTGTGAAAAGGTCTGCTTTCACCATCATCACCCAGGTTTTCAGTGCATGATTTTTGAAGGGTGGGAATAATCCACTTCAATGAAGAACATGGTACTTATTTAAAATGAAGTATAGAAGAAGGGCATGAACGATCTTATACATGCAGTGTTACCATATCCATCCTCTACCCCAGTGTTTCTCAACCTTGGCAATTTTAAGATTTGTGGATTTCAACTCCCAGAATTCTGGGAGTTGAAGTCCACACCTCTTAAAGTTGTCAAGGTTGAGAAACACTGCTCTACACTAATAAAATAAGTATAGAGGCTTAAAAGATTTTAAAAGGAACCATATGACACTGTGTGTATGTGTGTGGGTGGGTAGGTGTAAAATACTAAGGTGGGCCGAAGATTGTATTTCAGGTTATTTAGCATGTAAGTAAGATTCTTGTTCCTATAATTAAAAACATTTTAGTTGCTTCATGAATCAAGGAAGGTTTTTTTAGGCAATCACTTTTGTCAAAGATATTAAGGTGACATGTTTGGATTATATATTCAATGTATAGAAGGTAGCTTAAAAAAAATCTCACCTCCTCAAATGTCAAAATCAGAAGGGAGAGCTGAGAAGCACCCTTCCCCCCCCCTTCTTTAATTTTATAAGAATTACTTTGGTGCCTTCTTGGAAGATCAGGAAGAGGCTACACAGGGAGGCTGGACTTCCTGTTGTAAATCTCTGAGAAAACCCCAGTCTCTGACCTCATATTGCCTCCAGCATCTCTCCCTTAATTAGAAGACGCAGGGAGCGGGGTGGGGTGGGGAGCCTGCCACTTGCTTAAAAGAAGCCTCTGTATGTTTTATTATAAGCATAGTCAACAATGAACTCAGCCCTTGAAAATCTTACAGGGTGCTTCACAAGAGAGCTTCCTTTTTGCTAAAGAGTCTGCTGCTTGCCACTCAGTCCCCTGAGTGTGAGACAACAGCCCAGATTTGGTTCTTTTGTTCCCACACAAAGCAGTCATAAGCTGTCTGCTTTGGTCACCAACAAAACCCTTTCCTTTTTTTTTTTTGCACGGAGCTGTTTCTTGGGGATCTTTTTAGAGTAGGATGCTATACCAATTCAAATCAATCATCAATCAATCAATCAATCAATCAATCAATTAACCTCTCTGGTATAGTGAACGAGTTGGAAGAAAGCAGTGGTGCTTTTTTCAGAAAGCGTTGCTTCTTCCCCCACCCTCCACCTAGGTTTTTCTTTTTAAGGAGAAAGGCGAGAAGGAAAAAAAAAGAGAGAAAGACAGAATATAGACAAATATAGAGTTTTGCTTAGTATGCTATGGTCAGGATAAAGAAGGGTAGCTAATTCAGGACTGAACAGGGTGACCAGGATGCATCAGGCCCAAAATAGTTCACCACTTAAGACCATGCTTGGGGCAGTGACATTTGGCATCATTCTCCCTACTCCCCACCATAATAGGATTAGTGTAAGTCAGAGTTGGCTTCCTTCCTCAAGGAACAAATGGAGCTCACACCTTCTATCAGCTTGATTAGGTCACCACTGCTGCACGAATTCTTCATCATATCCTTTTTTGTATTATCCAGGCGCTGAGAATGTTCAGCATATTTCTCCTGCAGCCTCACTGCCCTCCCTTGTGCAAGCCAGGACAACATCTGCTGTTTTGCCAGAGTTTAACAATAACCTTTTAACGGCAGATAAGAGATATTCTGGAAAAAATAAGCTGCTCTTAACGTTCTTCAGAGGCTGCTTCTTTTGATACTGTGCTTTAAATGGCTTTAGGATCTCACATCAAACTCCTATTTAAAGGCTATTATTGCAGCATAAAGGCTTCATAGGTCTCTCCTATCTGGCCTCTTCCTGCTTAAATGTGCTGGTGCATCAGTTGATCTCCCTTTCCATGCTATCAATGTGCACCCTGCAGCACTTCAGCTCTGGACTGATCCATTTCTACCTTCTCCAATGCAGACTTTTTGAAAGCAGTTGCAAACTTTTATTCCATCATCACATCATTATCAACATATCCTTCTCTTTCTTTTGTCTTTCTGTAACTTCTCCATACTTACATACTTAAAAAGAAAGTCCAGTTATTTCCATTTGACAGATTAAAAGTTACCACTCCTTAATTATCCCAACATGGACCTGAAAGAATAGGAAACCTAACTTCATCAGAGCCCCCAAACAACATTCAGATGACAATGTCAACTTTCATACCTAGGTATGATAGGTATTTTCTTCTTAGGTACCTAATTTTCCTCTTACTAAAAGAAAGTATATGCCAGATGCAAACAGATGTGGCTGTACTAATCACAAAGAATAACCTAGGACAGTATTTCCCAATCTAATGCTCTCCAATGGCCATGGTGAGAGTTGTAAACTAGGACATTTGAAGAGCACCAGGTTGGGGAAGGCTGCATTAGGAAGTCATTTTGGTTCATGAGTGAGTATATAGTATACTGGACAGGTAATTTCAGTTATACTCAGGAAAATGAGAAAGAAATGCACAACAGTTCTCAATCTGTCATGGGTTTTTTTTCCCCCTGAGTTTTTGCCAACTCTATTCTACTTTTTGAGTGGAAGGGCTTGTATAACTAGGAAAGCTACTACTAAATCTATCTGAAAAAGCAACAATATAAAATACTGAAAGCCTTGAAGAATCAGTGTTTATGAGCTGCTGATCCAGATTTTCCTCTGGTTCATGTATTTCACTTAGACCAGCTTTACAGGTTCTAAGTAGAGAAAAATGTGTCATAACCACAAATGACTTATTACTAATGACACCATCTCTGGGCTATGCCTTTCCTGACGTATTAAAAAACAAATAGACAAACAAAAAGGTCAAGCACTGTAGGAGAATTTCCATTTTCGTAAAAAGTGATGGGAAACTCTCAGTCTCACCACTTGGTAAAGTAGGTCATTCTACATTTTTAAAGGCTGCTTTCCATCCCTTTTTGCACTTACCACTGCAAATAATAAGCTATTATGGACATGCCGAGGAATCATTCTCAAGAACGAATGCAATCAGTCATAGGAAGAAACAAAGAAAATGTTCTGGATGCAAAGCTGAGGGTAACACAGTGTCTGTTGTTTCCTCCATCTACCCCACCCTCCATATGCACATCCTTCTGACAGTGACCTCTAAAGAAGAGAGTATAGGAGAAATGAACATGTAGGGGATTACATAAGAAATCTGTTTTTCTTCTCTGATTTTTCCTTTGCACTCCTGTTTTAAAGTCTCTCAATTACAAAATGAAGCTTGCTTTTCAAAAAAGTTCCAGACCCCTTAAATCAAAATCTGGTTTCTAAAAGAACACTATTCAATCCTCAGCCCTAAATGCCCACTGGCTCTCACACATTCTTCTTGCAGCAAACAGCAACAATCACCACATTTCCCGATGATTTGTGTGTGTGTATCTGTGTGCATGTATGTATATTGTATTGCATACATATGTACATTTATTTTGCCACATACTGTCAACCCAGTTCAGAATGTATTTCCTCAGAAGTATCCTAGAGGATTGCTGCCCATATCGTGCATCTGCACACCCAAGGGAACAATGGGCATTCTGTACCCACCACTATCACCACACTCCTAGTGCAGATATTCTCCCAGTCCAAAAAGTACAAGATGCCAGCTTCCAATCTGCCTCCCTCCCCAGCACGCGGTTCATACCAAGCAAGCTCTCCATGCTCCCCCAATCCTTTCTCCATTCACTTTTCATGCACATCCCTGCCTTTCTTTGAAAGGTAATAATCCAGCAGACCAACCTCGTATGTCTCTGCTCTCCTTCATTCGCCTGACCCTGATTTTCAGCTTCATCTGCCCCTTGTGCATGTCTGGCCAGGTCTGGTCCTCAGAGGGAGCAATCATAACATCCAAAGGCATCCAGGCAGCTGGACTGCGTCTTTCCCAGAGTTACCTCCTGCCCTCACCAAACAACAGCTGCTGGTGGTGGGGACAGCCTCCTCTTTCCAAAAAAAGGGAAAGAGAGAGCTTGAGACACCCACAGATCCAGCTTTGAGGAGAAATTAAAAAGGGAAAGAGGAAGGTAACTGGACAAAAATATTTCTGCTCCTTCTCAGCAGGATTATTTTCCTCCTGTCTTCGCCCCTTGTGTATGCACAGCGCCAACTCCAGCGAGCCTGAATGAGCTCAGCACATAAGCAACAGCCGATCCACCAAGGAGCAGTCATAGCTAACGGGTCAGGCATGCAACCACATTCCTTACTCAGCACACAGACATGCAGTTTAACTCAAGGGCTACGCTACTGGCATATGGTTTGCTCAGCTGCTTAAAGAGACAACGTCCCATTTTTTCCTCTACCTCCGGCTCTTGTTCCAAAATGCCACAAACGGCAGCTGGTAGGGGCAAGATGAATAGCTCAAGTCTCTTTTGCTCTGACAATTTAATACATCTGTAGTGATACTGGGATCTGTTGAGTATGGTGCAGTTCAGCTAATCCATTTGCTGCACATTCCAAAGCACAAATGAAAGCATGGCAAAACTGTTGGACATCTAGCCAGGAGACGGGTCCATTCTCCAGCACAATCTTTAGTACTCCTTGTGATGCACTCCTCACCTTATCCTGTATTTTCCAGCTGTATGACATTCACTGCCTCCTCTCTATCACAAACCTTAAAGGCTGTTCTGGACACAGGTCCAACCCTACTAGCCACTATCCCATCCCTTTTCCAAGTACAGAAGTGCTGAATTAATTTATACCAATGTGTTCAAACATTCCAACAGCTATAATCAAGTCCCTAATCTTTTCCCCCCTAAATTCCAAAACTATGTTCTACATAATATACACTAAAAACAAGCTGGTATTTGTTCCTGGTCAATGACGGCACAATTTAATTTTTTTTTTTTTAAAGAAGTATAGCAGGAATGCTGGTCTGGATATACTCTAAGCTAGGAAAGCATTTGGGTGCCAACTGCACTTTCCTTTCATGGCCTTTTTAATCAGGATCACAAACGGGGGCATCAAATTTACTCCCCCCTGGCTCACTTATGGGCCCCACACTGATTGGTCAATATGACTTCCCTTAAATGCACACGTGCAAATTCAAAGATGCATTCAGAAGGATGTTACCTACATCTGGTATCACCAACTGAACTCTACACACTGATACATTTTTTATTGATTGAGAGTATTATCCTGAAGCTTCCCAAACTACACATTCTGCATAAAAGTTCACATTTGAGATGCTGCAAATCATCTTAGCATGCCTTAGACAAAAACCCATCAGATGCACCACTAGAATGTGACTGGGAAGACTGCAGGCCTGTGGAATTTCAGCACTAACTCATTCTTCCTCAACCTAAGTCCAACCTGAAGGACCAAGGTCAATTCTCAACGCATGGACTTGTAAAGGGTCCAACTTGCAAAGCCATCCAGCACAAAAGACTAAACAAAGTCTTTATAATAAGTATGTATCTGAAAGTACAAAATGGCTTATATCACTAATTCCTTGATTTCTCAAGACTGAATGGACATTTGAAGTGCCTTCTACTCTCAATTTAAGGCCCAAATTACTATATAAGCGATGAACTAATATATTTATCAGCTGATATCTACCCAGTTACCAGAACCTAAAGTCTTTATCTGAGACTTATCCTCAGGCATGCTTACTAAATCAAGCAAGGCAAGAAGCCATCAGGAAAAAGTCTTTTCAACTGTTGTGCCCTGCTTGTGGAACACCATTCTTCCTCCTCCTCTTCCTCCTATTACTGATTGCACAGTCAGCCAGATGTTTAGACTGGAGTATTATTGTTGTTGTTGTTGTTGTTGTTGTTGTTATTCAAGTAATATCACCCATCTTACCATAGTGACTCTGGGCGGCTATCAACAGATAAACACACCATACAAAATAACAACAGAAAACAAACCAATATATAAAACCTTTAATGACCACCAAGGTAAAAACCAACCTAACTAACCACAGGCTCCAGCTAACTTCCCAATCCCCATACCTGGAGACACATCCAGGTCTTTAAATTTTTTGGAAAGCTGGCAGGGTTGGGGCCAATCTAACCTCGGGGGGGGGGTCGGGGTTCCTAAGAGCAGGCATGGTGGCAGAAATGGTCTGCTTTCTGGATCCTGTAAGATGACATTCTTTAATCTTGCCTGGTACTTAAATATAGTGCCTTCTGCCCTGATGCTTATTCTCATAGGCATTTAAAAATCTTTTTGCCCTCTGTTAGAACTTCACACTACCGTAGTCTACTACTAGCCCTACTGTGATTTTATGCACTGAATTTATTCATATTATTGTTGCTGTCCTTAATCTCATCTTGATCCCTGTGCTGTTTTCTATACTGGTTTTTCTATCATTTTATTTTGTATATTATATTAGTAAGTGAATAGCACAGCATCCAAACGACTGGACACAATTGGGCAGTTCAGAAATATAATATTTAATGTGACAGCCCCCCAGAGTTTGCTTCTTTTGTTTGGCATGCAAACAAAAGTACTGGGGAGAATACATTTTGCTCTCTCAACTAATGGATATGGACCTAACTACCCTTCTCCACCTCAGTGACTGCTTCCTGTATCTTACTGCAGTAGCACACTTTAAAAATATTGGATTATTACTTACTAATGAGCAATACATAGATTCAGTATTTTATGGAAAATACTGCATTACAAGTATTGTAATTCACTAAATAATGGTAGTTTCTCTATTATGTATAGGAAGAAAAACTGTGATATGAGCACAAGAAGGGGCTTGCTCCAAAGATAACGAATATATAATAGCACCTTATCTGAAAGCTAATGATGTATTAAAAAACCTGGGGTGCATATCTAATTGCCAGTACTAACCCCAGTCCCAATTCAGTGTTACTGAATATACTTTGCATAAAGAGAGACTTAGATTCAGACTTGCTGGCATCTATATGATGCAAATGATAAACTCCTTCTTCAAACTGCAGCTAATAATGGCTTTGGGCAGATGTGCCTTTCTGGACCTGGCCTCCAGATGTGTTGAGTTTGCGGCTTCTTCTCAGTATGGCCAAAGGACATAATCCCAGCACGTCTGCAGAATGTCAGACTGGGGAATTTAAAATTGCTATATATAAGGCTGTAGCTTAGTAATAGAGAACACGAAGGACCAGGTGTAAACTCTGGTACGTCTAGATAGAATAGAAAAGACCTGAAAAATCTGTATAGACCAGTGTTGGCGAACCTATGACATGTGTGTCAAAGGTGACACACCACGACAACTATTCTCCCTGTTTGAGTTACCAAAGAAACTGAGTTTGTTTTACTCGTATTTCACTTTTGTAATTATTCAACATTTCTTTATATAATACACAACACCACACATGATTGTATTGTATTTTTTTTTAATAGATGAATATGTAAAGAATTGTTTCTCTTTTGTTCTGGAGAGGAGTGACATACCAGCAAGTCAAGTTAGGCATTTTCCGAATGTTTGACACGCCGAGCCCAAAAGGTTCATCATCACTGGTATAGACCAACCTTCCCAACCTATTGCCTATATCATAAACTAAAATTCCCCAAAGCATGCATACATACATACATACATCATAGAGCATGACTCCTGGGCCAGGATGATGAGACAAGTACAAAATAACTGGTGGATGCTGGATTGGTGAAAGCTGGTGTACACAATGCTGGACTGCATGACTTAATGGTTTGTCCTTTAAGGCCCCTTTTCTGTATTTCTGAACTACCTCTTGCATAATGCTTAGGAATAGTTTTCAAAAAGGTGCTTTGGAGTGCAAAGGAGCTCAAACACAGCACCTGTTGGTGACTCATTCAAACAAGGATCCTGGAAACAGACACATCTGTTTTAATAAGTCACTGACACCTTTTTGGAACTGAATCAAAGCACTGAAAAATCCTACTTTCTGCATTCATCACTTCTAATAGAGATCCCACTCTCCTACAGAATTTCTCTCTTTTTATACCTATGCTATTAACAAAAATAGTATGGTGAAAAAGGCTGATATTGAGCTAAGGTTGGTTCTTCAGTTTTGGCTTAGTAGGTTGTATGAATTAAGTTATTGTGGCTTGTGAGTCAAGGTTTACAGATTAATACAATATACAACCCACTTAATATCTGCCTGTAAGGAAAGTGGGGACTGTACCTCCTTTTGAACTAGACCAGAGGTCACAGGATTTAAACAACCACCAAACAGTACAGGGATAATGCTACCAGATCTGGCCTGCAAAAATCTCAACAACTAGATGGCAACCAAAGTAGTTTTTTTCCTCAATGACTGCTGCCATCCAGTGGTTGTCCATATTTTGCAACCCAGCTCCTGTTATCCCATTTCAGGGGTCTCCAAGCCTATTGGGTTAATGGGTACATTTTACAAATCTAATACATGTTGTGGGCACCCACAGAAAACACTGTGCCAGGAACAGGGACTGCCACCATCTCTATGACCCTGGAATACTGCCTGGATAATCACATCAGTAGGCTCTGTTCTGGGCAGCACGTGCTCTAACACAGACAGGTTCCTGAGCACAGTGTTAAAACAGGAAGAGCAAAATCTCTCCCTTCAAGCTGCCATTACAAGTGCCTGACAAGCCAAATTACAAAAACAAATTTATTAAATGAATAGGTGAAGTGGTAAAGAGAGAGGGCAGTCTGATACATACCAAGGAAAATAAACACCAGTGCTGAAACACAGAATAAATTACACGTGGGGGATCACCTGGAGAGTTGAACTGTTGCTTGGATATTCAGCCATATACAGAATCCCAAGTGACAAGGTTCTGTGTCCACTGACATCATGGTAGTAAGCCAAGTGACATAGTACAGATAGCCCTCAGTTAATGACCACTCATTCAGTGACCATTCAAAGTTGCAATGGCACTGAACAAATGGTACTTACAACTGGTCCTCAAAGTGATCACGATCTGGGCACTCGGCAACTGGCTTGCACTTATGACGGTTGCAGCGTCCCACAGTCATGTGATCACCATTTGCAACCTTCCCTGCCAGTTTCCCACAAGCAAAGTCATTGGGAAAACCAGCAAGGAAGGTCGTAAGTCACTTGGATAAGTTGCTCCTGCCGCTTTTTCTCCCAAAGAGTCCACTACGAGGTATGGTATCCCAGGGATCTCGTACTCTGTAGTGCATGCCTGCCTGTAAAACCTCCCCACCCACACTCTGTATCACACGCATGCCCCCACAACATCCCCGACCTCACCCGTGCAGCACCACAGCATCCCCT